TTTTTTTTTTTTTTGAGACCGGTCTGTTACTGTAGGGGCCTGGAGCCGCCGGCCCGAGATGACGAGCATTTCGGACCTCCCGGAAGATGTGCTGGTGGAGCTGCTGTCCCTGCTGCCGGCCCGGGACCTGCTCCGCGCCTGCAGGCTGGTCTGCACCCAGTGGCGCTACGTGGTGGATCTGACCACCCTGTGGAAGCGCAAGTGCCAGCGGGACGGCTTTCACACGCAGAGTTTGGACAGGAGCATTTCTGACTGGAAGATCTTCTATATGCTCTGCAAGTTGAAGAGGAACTTGATAAAAAATCCCTGTGCTGAAGGTTGGTTTTTGTTATTAATTATAGTAGGGGGTTAGTTCCCTAACAGTCAGGAAAAGGCTGTCCTGTAGGAACTGCACTCAATACTCAAGTATTGCTGGTGCTGTGAGACTGCTCGGCCATTGATGGAGCTGTAGCGAATCCACAAGGACCCAGCTGCGGATAAGGCCATTTTGGGTAAAAATAAGTATTGGTAAATATGTGTCTATGGCTGAGATCCAGAAAAGAATCTCTGGAGTCACTAAAGTACTATGAATAATGAATATAAATTTGCACTGTAGGTAGGAATGTTGTGATAATAAAACTGTCAGCTATTGGAACTAAATATTTGGGCAGCCAGGATTTTTTTTTCCAGCTAAAATCTCATCTCATTGTATTAATTCGCTCCATTACTGCTTTTGAGTAAGCTTTTTTTTTTTTTTTTTGGGGGGGGGTGTGGTTAAAAAACTACTGCTAACTGACCCAGTTGCTGACAGACGTGTTAAAAGTAATGGCTGTGTACTGATAAAAGTCTATGCTATACAGAGATGTGCATACCTGAAATTTCTTCCATGTTTCTTCTGTTGACTTTTTAATGAAAGCAGAGATGATGTGGAAAACTAAAGTGAGATATAACAGTCGTTGTGGTATCCATGTTTTGTAGAGAGTTTTCAGCACTGGAAACTCGATAATAATGAAGGCGATAGATGGAGGATTGAGGAGCTGCCTGGGCCTCTTGGGAGAGAGATGCCAGATCCCAAAGTACAGAAGTATTTTGTCACTTCATTTGGGTAAGAACTGCATTAATGTGCTCAGGAACTGAAGGAAGAGACTTGCTTCCTCCCCTCTGTCTGCAAGGCTCCTTAGGAAGAAACTTAAACTTTTAGATGAGTTACTCTAGTAGACAGGTAACTGCTGAGGGAGTTAATTGCACCAAATGCAAAGTCCTTCTGTCCCTACCAAGAATATTTTGTATTTTTTATAGTGGTGATAATGAATGTGGATGGGATCCCTATGCATCTTCTGGTAAAGGTAATGGGCAGAGGTTAATGTTTGGCCAACTGATCACACTGTTGCCTGACTAGGACAGAACTCTGTAACGTGCAGAAGTGCTGGGTATTTGTCATGCTAGCAGCTTGCAGTAAAAGCAGCCTGCAGGGGTGGTCTAGCTGCATTCACACGCTTTACAGAGTTGTTTCCTGTTAACCACATACCCTTCCTTTGGCATGGGAGTAAAGCTAACCACGTTGCTTCCTTATGCACTTCTGGCTACAGAAACAGGGATGCTTTGGCTGTGTCAGCCTTGTGGGCCATCAAGGTCTGGATGGGCTTTTTATGAGATGAAAACTGTTGGAGGGAAAGCATGGAAGGACAAGGTATGTGTTTTGTGAAGCTACCCCTATTTGTGTTTGTGTTGCAGGCTGTGCCTCAAATCTCAACTCATTACCCTGAAGAATGAAGGATACTGGAATGAGCTGATGGATGAGAAACGGCCTGAAATTGTAATCAAGGACTGGTAAGCATATGCACTGAAAACTAGAAGCTCTGGCCTTATGACCTAAATAGAAGTTATGGCTTTTGAAGCTTTTCATGCTGTAAGAAATAGTTCTTTATCATTTGGGACTGTAGCTTTTGAGCAAGGTTTATTCAGTGACAGGAAGGATGTGATAATTCTGGAAAGGACAGGATAGTTGGAAGTTCTGGAGTTTCTCCATAGCTATGAGATGACATTTCTTTTCCTCTGCAAAGAATTCCTGTGGAAATTGGGTGTGCGCAACCCCACTGCTTGATTCCTTTTTACCTCTCCAGGTACGCTGCCAGATTTGACTGTGGCTGCCGCTACGAGATTACTGTGAGGCTGCTCTCTGAAGATTATATCGTCCTTGAGGAGTTCCACCCCGAGCCCGTGGTTATAGAGCAGTGGAGCGACGCTATGTGGAGGGAGGTGAGCAGTTTACATCACTATTCTGACACTTAACCCCTTCAGGTGTTCCTATCTTTATTTAGGCTTTGTCTACATCAGTTATAGCAGCATAATTCTTGTGTTTGTGTTCCTTTAACTGGCCCAAAAAGCTTTGTTTGGAGTAGTGTGTGGGTTTTGCTTCAAGAAGTGCTGCAGACACATTTCCTATACCACTACCTGTTAGACTAGTTTAAATGGCTGTAAATTCCCTATTATAATGTTTATGAGAAATATGTAACCCTAAACTTGATTCCTATGTTTGACTTGGCACTGATTTGCTTAGGCAAGATAAAGGATTTCTTTCCTTTTCCCCCTAGATCTCTCACACCTTCCACAATTACCCAGCTGGAGTTCGTTACATCTGGTTTCAACACGGAGGCCAAGACACCCAGTTCTGGGCAGGCTGGTATGGGATCCGGGTGACAAACAGCAGCATCACCATTGGGCCCTGGACATTATTATGAAGAGGCAGTATAAATGTTCTCTTTTACCTCAGGACTGTAACCGGGTGGTCTCAGGTGCCGTTATATTTGTACTCTTTGGGCGAATGTCCTGGCTCTGTCTTGCACAGTTATCTGGAATCTAAGCAGCTGGTTTTCCTTGTTCAGAGCAGAGTGTCTGCAGGCCTGGCCCTTGGGAAGCACTTCTGTCTTCATCTTTCCTCTTCCTGCCCCATGGACGTTAGTGCAATTACTAGTGTCCTTCCACAGGACAATTAAAGAGGTTATCTATCTTTTGTAGTGATAATGTGCTGTAGCACAAAGACGCAAGTCTTAAGAAATGGAAACTTTCTGGTTTGTCTACAGAATTTCTCAAAGCTAGAACTAAAATATTTCAGTTTATGACCCTGTTTTTAAGGGCTCTGCTATGGAGATGCTTGTTTTGCATGGTATTTTCTTGTTTCCGTGTGCACATATAAACATGCCTTTCACATCAGACCTCACTGATAGTACAAGGAAACTCTCAAGCCTTGTTTTAGTAAGTGTTGTCTTGCTGGTGCTTTCAGTTGTAAAAGATATATTTGAGCACAACAATACGGGTCTTACCTGTCCACATACTGCCCAGCTTTATGAGAAAGAGGAGGGAAGGAATCCCGTACAACTTAAGTGCCTTCTACAAGCTGGAGCTCGGCTTTTTCATTGTTATCCTCACACTACCAAAGCACTTGGCTTGTACTAAACAGTCTAACAGTTAAAGCAGCAAATGACTTAGGTGTCTTGTTCTTCCACTTATTTCTTGGAGGAAGCAGGGAGAGTCTTTCCTGGCTACATTATCAGAGTGTTTTCCCAATAAGCTCAGCTCAAAACTATGGGCTATCTCTTCCCCTCCTGTACACACAGAACTAGTGCTAAGGCCCTCTTCCCTCTCCTGTGAAAGGTGCAGGATAGAGGTGTTTTTCCTTGTCTGGTCTGACAAAGCTGGGATGTTCCACACATGTCCTTGCTGGGCTGGCAGGCAACCTCCTTGCTAGCTCCCCTCTTAGGTGGAAGTTCCCCTGAGCAAAGGGGGGCCGCTGGGGTTGGACAGCCTTTCACAGAACAGATACCAGCCCTGTTCCAGAAAAGGCATGGAAAAGGGGCAAAAGATCCATCCAACTAAAAAGAGCAGTTACTTTTTCACTAGAGGAAAGCTGTCTTGAATAAAATGCAACCTAGTTCCACTGGCATAAAACTTAGTATTTATTGAAAACTACGTATGACAGTCACTGTGGACACTGCATAAGGTCTCACTCATGTGGTGTGAGACCACCACTCTGTGGAGCACCCAGCAGCTCCTGGTAAATCACCACCAGTGTGCAATGGAGATGCCTAATTAAGGCTCAAAGTGGATTTGTACAAAGCTCTGACCGCACCCTGCAGTCAGCTTTATCCTGCCCCCTCTGTCCAGGGCCTCCCTGCAACAAAACCTCTCCTCACTCTCCCCCAAGTGCACGTGGGAACAGGCTCTGGCTCCACATTCCAAGGCAGTTCTATGTACAGGGGTAAGTGCAGCAGCTGCTCTACATTCACCTGGAAGGCCAGCTGCTGAGGCTCTTATCAAGGGATAGATTGTGAGGGATCTCATTCCACTGGAAGATCTGATGAGGCTTGAAGCTGATGAAGAGCTGGATCAGGTGCCTTTGTGGGCTCGCTCTTCAACATAGAGCTGCATCTGCGGGAGAGAAGTATCCAATTTACACTTTATGTTAGGTGAATGGAGAAAAGTTTGCAACACTTAGGAAATCCTGAATGGGAATGCCTGCCTTCCACCATAAATAGCCAGGCTGCCTATTTCATGATGAAAAATCTTACCCTTTTTTTTTTTTTACTGACACAGAGCATCTGCCAGGCCTAAGATTCTGCTCAGCATTAGATAGTGCTAACTGCACAGCTGGCATCGAACAGCCAAAACCTAAATCTACACATGATTTTGGCTGCCTAAACCTAGTGCTTTGCTTACCTTTAGGATATCCGATGTCATAGTTTTCAGTGGAATAAGCCGTGGGTCATGCATGTGCACGTCCTGCTCATCAGCAAGGATCCACGGGAAATCCTAGGGGCAGGAACACAAGGTGCTTTATCACCACTGCTGCTGGCCAAAGCTGCAAGGGGATCTTCTCCAGCACCAGGTCAGTATTAAATAAGTGGTAGCCAATGAGGGAGTAAAACACGTGGCTGTCGGAGGTAACTCAAGGGCTTCCCCAGCAGTATAACTTAAACACTTGTACAGTTCTTGGCCCTGAGACTGCTGCTGTGGTTTTCATGCACAGTCCAATTCTCAGCATTGATTTCTGCACCACACTTACAGCAAAGTTAATATTTTAATCTATTTTATTTATCCCAAAGATGACACCTCCTTTAAAAGGCGTATATGTGGTGAGACACATCAGCATTTAATTGCAACTTCAAGATGCTCACACCACGGATTTCCCTGTTTAACAAAAGCTGTCTGCACTTGCAAATAAGAGGGTTGTTTTTTTTTTTTGGGGGGTGTAGTATCAGTTTTGTTACTCTGCAATACAGAGCAGACCTCCCTTTTGAAACAATTTTATGATTCCCTATTTTTACTGCCCATGGCTTAAGGCGCCCCAAATAATTTTCACTGGGAAGGCTGGGGGCTGCTTCCTGGTTCCTAAGCAAGGACCTTGATGCAACATCCTTGTTTCTTTGCTTGTGAACTTGCTGCTCACAGTTTCTTGAAAGATAAATGGTTTTGTACCACCAAAACCCACTACTTACTTAAATCTCAGTTTTCCCTTGATATCTTATATGAAAGAATCATCCATCCACATACAGATTTGGGATCAGGACTCTTTTTCCGAGATTTGAAGTTAAGTATTACTACTTGTTAGTAGATACTAAGTATGTACTATTTATTTGAAATATCAGTACTTCAGAGCACTGGAGGTGACAGGGGGCATCAGGCATTCAGCATCATTATGCTCCAGCTCAGGCATCAAAGCAGCCATTGTCTGTGATCTGCAGCTGGTGTCTGTTAGTTCTCCATTACCTTGCTGGCATAAACATTTTTAATACACTTGCAAGTTGCAAAATGCATCATATGAAGTTAATATTCAAAATATTCCAGTACCGTTAACTCAGAAATGCCCAAATTTCTCAATTTCCATTCTTTGCTCTGCGGCTCTCACATACAATTAGGTAGCCAGAGGCCCCTCTCACCTTTATCACCTGGATCTTTTCCATGTTCCGTGTGGCTGCCTCCCGTGTGTGAACCAGAACCGTGAAGGTGCAGCCTGCGAGAGAAAGGGCTGCAGCTCAGGGCACAACCACGGGAGGATTTGGACGCTGCCGCGCGCAGGCCCCGCAGCTGCGCTTACCGGGGGGGTTGTTGTCCAGCACAGCGTCGCACACGCTGATCTTCAGGATGAAGGCACGGAGCAGCTGCTCCACGTGAGGCAGCAGCGACTCGGAGCTGTTGAGGAGACAGTTGTTATGCACAGGGAAACCTGGCTGCAGCTGCAAGGCTGCCGTGCCACGCGCTGCCACACCAGGACACTCTACCTGATGGAAAGAAGAGGTGGCTGAGTGATCTCAAAGACAAATCTCTCCACGGGGTGGTGCTCTTTATCCAGGATTACCACTACAACTTTTTCCACATCATTCTGCAAAAACAAACATAATTGGGAAAAGCCCTTCCTTAAAGCGACCCTAACCTTCCACCCATGCTGTGCTTCAGGTACTTTCTGCAACCCAATCACAAAACACTAGCCGTTATCTTTCTTATCAGTCAGAATAGTCTAACAGTGCTAGAGGTCTAGATAGAGTAAAGCAACTTTATAACTTAACTGCTGTTTTGTCTTGAAGTCCACAACGAGGAATTGCAGTAAGTAGGACATTTTTCTAGATAATCCTTTGGAAGAAAGGAGGAAGTGTGCAGTCATCTTACTGCATCACTTGAGAATGGATGATAAGAGCTAAATTCATATAGGTGAGACCATTGGCCAGAAGAGCAGCTTTGTACTATGGCAATGTAAAACTTCCTAGTTTTATTTAAATATCTATTATATTGTTTGTAAAGACAGGGTGCCAGCCCTGCTTGCATCCTGCATTATATCATGTTCCATATGGTCATGCCCTTCCCTCACCAAACACAGATTTCAAACCTACCTGACCCCATTCGCTTACAACAAACTACCCCACTGAGTGGGTGCTTAACCTTAACATTTTCTTTCTGAATGCATTTAAGTTATTCTCCTCGAAATTAAAATTGAAAATATATAGGTGTACAGCCTCACACGTCTGTATTGGACGCAGCTAAATGCACTATTCAGCAGCAAGGTAATGTGATGTTTTGTTTTTGTCACCAACTCTATTAGCTAGTTTTTGTATAAGCTAGTTTTGCATATGGTAAATCTGTAAATAAAACTTTAAAACTACACATATATTTTTTTAAATCTCTGTCAGCTCGCATGGTCCCAGGTCCTTTATATGATCTTACCTTCTCAAGCAAGGGCTTCACGCAGTGCAGTGTGTCCTGGATGTACTGATTCAGCTCGGGGTGACAGGACATCTGGAACAAACACAGGGAATAGGTGGTGCTGTGTCCTGAGGTGAGTCAGGCCAATACTGACTGGGAAGTTGTACACAGAGCTGCTAGCATGTTGCAGGGCACTGGATTCGTGCTTCAGAGGGGATTTTTCACAACTAAGTTGCCCATTAAAACCAGTAGATCTTGCATGGAAGGTTAATTATCTGAGACAGATCACTACAGTTTGATAAATATATTAGTTATTATTTATATTGTTATATTATTCCCCTGCCCCTGTTAGCTTGGAAGCTCCTCCCTAGCATTCAGCATCTGAACCATCTTCCCTTCCTAGGCAGCAGCTTTCATGCTACACCTCTGTGCATGGCTAGAGGCTTCTACTCCTGCTCCCTGTGACGTGCTCTGGATCTTCAGCTCCAGCTCCGTTTTCCTAAGAGAGACTAAATTCTTTGAGTGTGACTTTGTGCATTCACAGACCTGCTGGCAGTGGCTTAGTTTGTTCTGGTGCGTGTGCTCACATCTGCTATGAGCTTATCCACACGGCTACCCACTCCCCTACCTGCACAGGTACGTTGTACTTTTTCCTCTTCTGAAAGATCCCGATAGGATAAACCTCTCTGACGTACAGGATGAGGTGAACGGCCACTTCCAGGAACTCTGAAAGAACATCTGCAACAACTGAAAAACAAAACGAAGCGATGAAGAGGGCTGGGAGGGGGGTATTCAGAGCATTACTTGAACTAGTGCATAAGTTGCACTTCCCTTAGCTGCGTAGGGATAGGGTCCCCCTTCAAAAGAAGGCTGGCTTTGCCTTCACAGCAAGTGACAACCGCCGCGCTCACGTGCGCAGCGCAACACGTTACCTTGTCCAAAGTTAAGGTCCTGCCGCGTGAGAGTGGTCATCTTCCCGGGAACCTGGGGGAAATCGCACCACAAACGTGTTTATCCCTGAGCTCTTGTGCTCTGAACAAGCCGGCCCACCCCACCGCCCTCGCACCACGCAGCCTAGGCCAACGCAGTGTCCTCTAACTGGGTGACACACAAAACGCTGCTGTGAGGAAGCCCAAGGCCCAGCAGGGTTGAAGCACCCTTCGGCCTGACAACATGGGCTTGGGAGTCACGAGTAGTTCAAGAAAGCAGCATCTTTGCTGTGTTTGGCACAGCACAAGAAACACAGCATTTGCTTTTAAAAAGCCACAGAAATGCTTTGGCAGCTTTACACACGCCACAGGCTTCTCCTAAACTATAAACCCTACTCTAACACAGGCGCTTCTCAATCTGACGGGTTTAATCTCACAACAGCACTTTGAAACGTGGTTAGGTTCATGTCAAGACCTGCATGTTCCACTGACGCTACGCACCACAGCCAAACGCTGCAGAGCCACATAACTAATTTAACATGAAATCTGCCACGTAAACACGGGGCAGTTGCTCAGAGCAACACAGCAGTAGATGGACACATGGACAGTCATGCACCCACCACCAAACAGCAGACGCTGGGGATCAAGTTTCCTCACCAGGTACCAGTCAGTACCTTGTGCATACACGTTTGAAGCACCATTTCATAACCTGTTTCTTTATCCACACTCTTTATACTCATCCAAACTCTAACCACCAGCTGTTCATACCCTGCATACATTTGAATGCCTCCAGGCAGCCCTGTGCACCCCTTCAATAACTCAGCTTTCCTGGAGAGGCCTCTGACAAGACACTACTGATTTTCAACTTTTTAGCTGCAAGCAGGCATTACCCTCTCCCTTTTTAAAACTAGAATCTGATCAACGCACAAAAAGGGCCCAGAATATCAACAACCTGCAGCAATAAGATCCCAGAGCACCTTCTCGGCACTCAGCCGCTGTCATTACCGAATCCGTATAAAAGCCTGTTCCAGCGGTGCATAAAGACTCGGTGTTTGTTTGGGGTTTGGGTCCCTTGGCCACCCCGGGACGCTCAGCTGCAGTCATTACCGAATCCATATAAAAGCCTGTTCCAGCGGCGCATAAAGACTCGGTGTTTGTTAGGAGTTTAGATCCCTTCGCCACCCCTGGACATTCCCCTTCACGAGCAGAGGCCCCGGGGAGGCAGCAGCACCAGGTACCCCTGCACGGCCAGGCCCAGGCACCA